TCTTCCTTCCTTCCTTCCTTCCTTCCTTTCTTCCTTCCAGCAGAAAGGGGGAAAGCAAATCTGACAGATGACCATCTTTTGCCTCACCTAACAGACCTGGGCAATAGATAAATTTGGGGTGAATTGCCTGCTGTGAGGGAAAAATGCCCCTTCATTCAGGGTAGAAGCCCAGAACAATGAAAGGTGTGCTTGCTTCTAAAGGTCCCATATGCTATTAAAGGATTCATTTGGGAATTTTTCAACAATTAAATGATTCCATTAAGAGGTGGGGCTGCATCATTGGTGGGGGTGGGTAGAGCACATAAAGAAGGGGGGGCGGATACCAGGAGTAAAGCAGAACTAATAACTCGTTAAATAACTGATTTTTCTAATCCCTTTCTTTTTTCAGCTTATTTCTTATGAATCTCGGATAGCTGCACCAGCTTGGTGGGGAAGGGGTTTGATGAATAGCACAAAGACTCTAGCTATTCCCTAGAGGCCGTCCCTTTAAAGGAGAATTCCAGTTTATTCTGGGGGGGGGAGGGGATGCACACATTAGAGTAGGAAAGAGGGTTTGGGATAAAATTAAAACACTCCCCTTTCATAGTCATTTTACTAAGATGCAAAGATTGCTTCCTGAGCTAGAGATGCTAACCTTGGCTAGGTCCTTCTGTTCCCTTCAAGGGGGATTTTGTCGGCTATGGATTCATTTACGAGCGTTAGTCATGTGGGCATGTGTGAGGAAACAGATGCCAGTTTTAATGTATTTAGCCTGAAGTTACAATTTGATAGGAGCCAGTGTCAGGAAGTCCCAGGATTTTAAGCTATTTCAAAATCCCTCCCTCTCCTGTGTTTGGAACAGTGCCAGAAGTGCCTCCCTCCCCATCTCTCACCCCAGTGCCCACAGCCAGCAGCACCCCTCCAGCCCCTCCTTCTTTTCTATTAAAATCAATATTCCTGCAGGTCAGGGGCAAGCAGCAGATGGGTCACGGGCTTTTTTCAACCAGTTCTTTTCACAAGCAGCAGATTGCAGATCTGGATCTGGCTAATATTTGAATTCCTTTCTTTTTTTTTTTTCCTCCTCACCCCTTTTTCTTTGCTTCTTTTCATCCCCACCCTTTTCTCCAACACTCAGGTCTCTGAGGTTCCACCAAAATATGGAACTTGATTTTGGACATTTTGATGAAAGAGATAAGACATCCAGGAACATGAGAGGCTCACGGATGAATGGGCTGCCTAGCCCCACTCACAGCGCCCATTGTAGCTTCTACCGAACCCGAACCTTGCAGGCACTGAGCAACGAGAAGAAAGCCAAGAAGGTACGTTTCTACCGCAATGGGGACCGCTACTTCAAGGGGATTGTGTACGCTGTGTCCTCTGACCGTTTTCGCAGCTTCGACGCCTTGCTGGCTGACCTGACACGATCTCTGTCTGACAACATCAACCTGCCTCAGGGAGTGCGTTACATTTACACCATTGATGGATCCAGGAAAATCGGAAGCATGGATGAACTGGAAGAAGGTAATTCAAGGAGTGGGTGGTGGCCCTTAGTGGGAGGTGGCATCGTTAGTTATGGGTACATTTCTTGGATTTTTATTAAAAGAAATTGGGAAATGTGTTTGTAAAAACACAAGGTTGCTGCTTAGACTTCTAATTCTATAGGCATTGACAGAATCATTAGCCATTACCCTTCATGGTCTTCAGTTTCGGCTGGCGTTGAAGTGTGGCTGGTGATGATAATGCATTGTGTTTATCTCCCAGGGTATACAAAGAAAAATCTGAATTGTGTCATTTACTCTAGAATGTGTTCATAGTTAAATCTAAATAGCACTATTGAGGCAGACCATAAACTCATTAGGGGTATAAAATGAGGAAGGAAGATTGGTTGGGTTAACAGAGAGAAAATATTATATGCTAATATCCTTTGAACTGCTGAGAGACTGTTTGTGAATTGCAACTCATGGAAATATGCACCCTAAAAGCTGGACTTCCTGGACGTATTCACAGAGGATTATACTTTTAGGTAAGTGGTCACTGCTCAGCTGTTGCTTCTAAAAAGCCCACTTCAGGGTGTGTCCCTAAGGCTGAGGTCATTGAGAGAAATACCAAAAAAAGCTGTAGGTATGTCTGGTATTTTAATAAAGACTATCCCTATTAGAATAGGAACTGACTCACTGTACCTAAATCTGTTTAAATCCTTGTCAGATTTTGGTTTTGCAATCGAATTTTATGACAAGATTGCTGAGAATCCTGACAACCTGTGTACCCAACTCAAATATAGGGAAAATGCCAGCTCTTACCAAAACTTGCCCAGCCATGAAGTCTCTTTTGTGATCATTTAGAAAAATAGATCTTGGGACATGGTCTTAATATTTTACTTTATCAAATCAAGTATTTTGAGGATGCCTCCCTACCCCACCTTTTAATGGGTGTAATATATGTGATCAGTTTAACCTGACAGTACTTTAAAGGACAGCACTCAGGAGTGGTGATAATGAAAATGTTCCCCCCAAAACCTCTTCCCACGCTCCAGCCCTCCCTCCTCATTCTTTCCATTCCCCCAAGCAAAGATGAGTTTAGAACAGGCAGATCTCTCTGAAACAGCCAGCAAGGAAGGAGAAACAACACATTAAAGGACTTGGTACGGATGGGAGTGCCCCGCCTCTGCTTCACTGCTTCTAGGTTTCTTGTGTTTCTAGAGACAAAGGAGCATGAGGGCTTCCTTTGTACAAGACCACATTCTCGCAAGTAGCTGCTGTTTCTCAAGTCAGGCTGAGTGATTTGGGGCTAGTTACTTATAAGACAGTGTCCATATGGCTACTGGATCTAGGTCTCGGGATTCAAGTCTGAGGTTTTTCTTCAAGCTGACCTTGAGAAACAATGCTGAGGAGGCTTAGATTATTTGATCAGGTGCTGGATGGCCAGGTGGAGGTTAATCCTAGGCTTCTTCTGAACATTGAAGGATTGGCCATCCTAGCAAATATCTTAAAATAAAGGAGAGTCAGGGCAAACTTGAAGGACTTGAAGCTAGGCTGAGGGAGCTGTCCAACAGCGTAATCGATAGGGTGTGTGTCTTTTGTCACTGGAAAATCCACATCTCAGTCAAACTGGAGGGGTTTCTCTGTAAGAATTTTCATAAACAAAGCACCCTGAATCACCCAGTATGTCCTCATCATTTCCACTAGCTGCGATCTTTTAAAGACCACGATACATGCTCGGGCAGAATTCTGAATCAAGTGGCATTGTATTTGGAGCAAGGATTAGAATGTTCTTGTGTCTGATATTAGAGTGGTGTCATGCACAGATTGCCCACTCCCCCAAATCCATTTTTTAACATGTCTTGCTCAAGGACTAGCCCTTGATATTGATTTTCCTCCCTGGATTTCTGTGTGTGTGTGTGTGTGTGTGTGTGTGTGTGTGTGTGTGTGTATTGGGGTGTGTGTTGTGATAATCTTAGCTCAATATAGGTAATAAATACAATTTTGAAGACTGCAGCTTCCTTTTCTCTTGATCCTTTTGAGTCCTGCTAGATTGTACTCCTCTTATCTACCACTCCCGGGTGCAGTAGTAGTACTTCCTGGTGAATTTCTGGACTATGCAGAATGTAAATAAGGCTCAGTTGCATTTATCCACAAGTCACGTACAACCACAAACTGCAGTGGCCCTCAGTGCCCTTTCAGTCCTGAGTATGGCCCATTCAGTCAAGGAAATTCTGGGGTATCTCTGGGGCAGCATTGAGAAATGTGACCAATATCCCACTACCACAGAGCCAGATGGGAAAAGGTACAGATATGAAGAGGATAAAGAAAAAGGGTCTTTTTCTCTCCTATTTTTTGTCCTTTGCAACTGTAGGAATGGAGGACAGAAGTCCTTTACTTTTTTCACCTTTGGAAGAGGTTAAAAGAAAGATTTTAAAATAGTAATTCATACATGTTGCTTCCCAAGAGACTTCAAATTGAAAGAGTTTGGAAAGATCCCTGGGTGAAGAGTCAGAGGCATTGGGTTCTCATCTTAGAGGCAGAAGATTATAATAGGAAAAGAAATCTTTGGAATCCGATTTGGTTCAAATCCCAGTTCTGCCACCTGCTAGCTTGTGTGAACTCGGGGGAAACCATTTAGACTCCCTGAGCCTCAGTTTTTCATCTGTAAAGTGGGAGTAACTGCTTTGAGGATTAAATAAAACAATGGATACGAAGTGTTTAGTATTCTGCCTGGCACATGATAGCATTCAATAAAGGGTGGCTGGTACTATTTGAGTCATCCTAGTTTATAGCTGGTTAAGCTACATGACTATAAGTTTGTCCTTATCATCACTGTGACTAATGTTCTCTCTTTTTAAAACAACGTAAAAAAAAAACAACCTTATTAAGGTATAACTTAATACTGTAAAATTCACCAACGTAAGTGTACAGGTCAATGAAAGTGTACAGTTCAATGACTTCTAAAAAATTTACAAGTGGTGAGACCATCACCATAATCTAATTTTATACCATTTCCATCACCCCAAAAAGAAACCCTGTGCCAATTAGCTGTCACTGCCCATTTCCCGTATTCTCTCCAGCTCTAGGTGACAACTTATCTACGTTGTGTCTCTACAGATTTGCCCATTCTGGACATTTTATGTAAATTGAATCATACACTATATGGTCTTTTGTGACCGGCTTCTTTCACTTACAAAATGTTTCCAAGGTTTGTCCATGCTATACCATGTATCAACACTTCATTCCTTTTTTTCTTTGAGGGATAATATTTCATTGTATGTATAGACCACATTTTGTATATCTATTGTAATATTCTTATCTGTAAAATGAGACTAATAATACCTGCCTTCTTTATCTATTAGAGTGATTGTGAGGATAAAATTAGATGATAAATATGGAAACACATTGACAAGGTAAAACTACAGCTACGAGGGACTATTATTGTTCACGATGTAAAAAAAAAATAGTAATAAGAAAAATGGTACAGATGAACCTATTTGCAGGGCAGGAATAGAGACATAGACGTAGAGAACGGACATGTGGACACGGGGGGTGGGGAAGGGGAGGGTGGGATGAATTAGGAGACTGGGGATGACATATATACACTACCATGCGTAAAATAGATAGCTAGTGGGAACATGCTATAAAGCAGAGGAAGCTCAGCTTGGTGCTCTGTGACGACCTAGATGGGTGGGATGGGGGTGGGTGGGAAGGAGGTCCAAGAGGGCGGGGATATAGGTATACATATCGCTGATTCACTTCATTGTACAGCAGAAACTAATACAACATTGTATAGCAATTACACTCCAATTAAAAAAAATGATGATGCCAGTGAAGGGCTGGAATAGCCAGTGGCTCCCAAACCTGGCTGCCTTTCAGAATCTTTTAGAGCGTTAGAAAAATATCAATTCCTGGGCCACGCCCCGGATTTGTTGACTCAGAATTTTCAGGGCTAGTGCTCCAGAGTCTGTTTTCACAGATTTCCCCAGGTGAGTCTTATGAGCACTTAAAGTTGGGAAGTACTAGATTAAGTGATCTTGACGGTCCCCTTCAGCTATGTATAATGGTGGGAATTCCTAGCAATACCTAAACCTTTGTTGTTGTTGTTGTTGTTGTTGTTGTTTTTGCGGTATGCGGGCCTCTCACTGTTGTGGCCTCTCCCGTTGCGGAGCACAGGCTCAGCGGCCATGGCTCACGGGCCCAGCCGCTCCGCTGCATGTGGGATCTTCCCAGACCGGGGCACGAACCCGTGTCCCCTGCATCGGCAGGCAAACTCTCAACCACTGCGCCACCAGGGAAGCCCTGTTTTTGTTTTTTGATTTGTAGATCTTAAAGGAATGATGGAGCATAGAACATACTGTGTTTCCAAATGGCCACATTATTAAGTATTTAGCCTAAAATAAAATGAAATAGAAAGCAATTGGTTAATAATCTCTCTGGCCTTGTGGCACTCCTTTGTCTAATGCCTCTAGTCTACTGTCTGCTGCTAGATACTGAAAGTATTAAGGGGACCATTTTGGACCAAAGTCAGGTTATTGATGTCAGCTTTCCCACAGCTCCTTGGGTACACGAACAGTCTTCATGAAGCCAGACAGAATGTGGCCATATACGTATTAGCCATATTCCCAGTGGGTCAGTGAATGAAATCCACCAGTGACTTTTCGTTTTGTCTTGTTTAGTCTTCCATTGGAGAATTATTCTTCCTTCATGTACTGTCTAATTCCTTCCCCACTTCCTCGTATGTAAGTACCCAGATCAATCTTAGGGGTGTCCTTTTGAGCATTATTATGCAGACCATGGGACAGAATATTTACAATTGTGACGGTCTTGTTGGAAGATCTGTATGGTGACACCAGCTATGATCCACTTTCTTTGCCATAGCCCATTTGTTCCAATGAGATGAAACCACTTTCTCACTAATTTATCCTCTAACTACTAAAGCAAGCACACTGCCAAAGAGGAGGATTTTAAGATACCTGGGAGAGTGATACATCATTAATAGACCTGATAATACAATAAACCACCATTTAATATTTTCCTTCTTGAGGGAGGAAGCCCAGGAAAAGAGGAGAAAGCCCAGGCAGAAGTGCTTTTGCACTGAGCAACTATAAACATGTTTAATGTTTTTGAAAATGGAGCTTTCCTGAAAGTGAAGGGAGGTAGACATTAGATCATCTTGAGCCCATAGCTTGTTCCCTTCCTGCCCTTTCAGCTGTGCTTCCATGACTTCATTTCCTTACCCCCTCGCCCTGAAGCAGATTGTCGATTCCAGCAGATTGTCACCTTGCTTGGCTCTGAAGCCAGCTTTCCTTCTAGGCTTCTAATGAGTGGGAAATGGCCCCTGGAAGCTGTGGCAGGATGGGAACCCAGCTGTGTAAAGGTGCAACACAGAACCAGGAAGCTTTGGTCCAGAGAAGCAGCACATTTGATGTCTTTCCAGTAGTACAAGGGGAGAGTCCTCAGTGGTGGGCCCCTATTTCTTTTCTTTAACATGTAAGTACCATAACAACTTTATCTCCTAGAGCCTGTTTGAGATGGAAAAGAGATGAAAATTCCTTCTTATAGACCTTAAGAGCTGGAAGGGCCTTAGACGTCACCTAGCGCAATAGCTTCAATTTGTAGACAGAAAAGCTGAGACTCAGAGATTAAATGATTTGCCTGATGTCATACAGCTTGTAAATGCCTGCCTGGGATTTAAATCCAGGTCTATCTGACTCCCCCTCAACCACCACAAACATCCTGCCCTCTGGTAGGGGATACAGATAACGGGGGTGGCATGTGTGGGAGCAGGGGGCATATGGAAAATCTCTGTACCTTCCCCTTAATTTTGCTGTGAACCTAGAGCTGCTCTAAAAAAAGATAGTCTTAAAAGATATTCTGCCCTCAGTGTGCACCAGCAGAGGCAGCAAGTGGCTTTGCTAGGTGTTATCCGTGAAGCTACCACATTTGGCCTTTGACGCAACTGGAGGCCTCCTTTCAGCCAGCAGGAAATATGATCTTTGAAGCCTGGGTCCCGGGCAGTGCTCATGTTATATAATGATTATAGCTCAGTTCCAAGATGGTTGCCCTTGCTGCTGCTGCTTTTCTTTCCTTCAGCTTCTACTCTTCCTCTTTTCATGTCCTTTCTCTCCACCCTTTCTTCCTCCTTTCCCTCTTAGCTCTTTTTCTTGTTCTCTCTCTGTTCCTTCAGATTAGGGCCTTAATAATAATGATAGCTGGCATTTGTCAAGTGCTTACTATGTAGCAGACTCTGGGCTCAGCCCTGCATATCATGCATCACCTGCTCTGAGCCTCAGAACAACCTTAAGAGGTAGGTATTGTTATCATCATCCCCACTTTGCAGACAAATAACTGAAGCCAAGGGAGGTTAGTCTGCCCAAGGGCACACAACTAGGAAATATTGGGGGACCCCACTGTGACTGACATCACGTCAGCTGCTCTTTTTCCATTACTTCATATTGGGGCCAAAAGGAAAGAGAGTGGAGAGACTAAAATGTGCTGTTGGAAAGTGTTCAACGTAGATTTGGCTGAGAGCTGGGCCCTCTGAAAAGTTCTTGGGTGCCATATGATACTATAGCTGTCTGCCATCATGTTCATTTTCACGGGGGATGGTTAATCATACTCATAGTTCAGAGGCTTAAGAGGTTTAAGAGATGGGAGCAAAAAAAGTCCAGAGTCCTAATAGGGCTGCGCAGCTGACTCTCCAGAGGAGACTGTGGATGAGTGAAATCATAAATATATAGCCTCATACATTTGCACACCACCAGTTGTCTGACAGAGTTTCAAAGTACATGACAAATTACGGAAAACATCTGACTCAGAGGCAGTGACCTCGTGGAAGTTGCCCGTGCATCTGGTAGAGTGCCATTTCTAGGGTATGGGGAATACTGGCTGTGAATATATGGGGGAATTGAAAGGGTCCCTTCATCCTTTAAGTCAAAAATTAAAGACCACATCCTCTAATCACTTGTGTAGGATTGGGTTAGCCAGTGGCAGCCAGAGAAATTAGGGTTTCTTTAGGCTGCGGTCTTTGATCGCCCCATCCTGGCTGTGCATGCATGCACCAGGTGCAGGAGTGAGGGCCTGTGCTCATCTACAAACCATGCCTTGGTCCCCTTGTCAAGACAGAACGCTAGCAGCATCTGGGACTCAGAGCAGTGTTGGAAGCCACTTTGCATACGTTACAAGCCACTTACCTTCCCGCTCCACACACACATATAAATGTCCTCAAAGGTGCCCTACAGAATCTCACTGAATCTTCTCTGAGCACTAACTGAGAAATTTATCAATTAACACGACTTAAAGGCTTTGGTGCTACAGCAAAGCAATCAGTATTTGCACAGGGAGTGAATCATCAGCCCCGGCGTTTGTGAATGTCTCTGCTCGGTTCTCCTGCTGAGACCGAAGGAAGAGCCATCAGATTATAATTGTGTTTAATGCTTTCTTTGCACGGGCTCGGGTTGATTGATTGATTGATCGATTTAGCGTTATTACTGATGAGTTAAGCCTGATTCAGTCACACTGGTTTTCTGCATCTCAACCTCTGGATGAACTTCTGTATACCTTGAGGCTAATGTGTTTCACTCAAAAAATTCAACCTTTTCCAATAGTCTCTCCCCGAGGCTGAGCCTCTCTTCCTCTTTTCTCCAGCTTCTAGTCCCAGGTGTCTAATCCCTTCCTCTTGCCTCTGGCCCCTGCATTTCTTCCCCTGTACTAGTCATTTCCTCTAGCCCATGATAAATGTGAAAATTACACTAGATCCTTCCAATCCATAAATCAGGCTGTATGGTGTATTCTCACATCTCCACCTCATTACTTGTGGCAGCCAAGGGTGAGCACTGGTGAAGATGGCCCTGAGTACACTGAGCTAGTGTGTGGCATTCAGGAAGATGGAAAGATGAGGGGTGGGTGGTGGAAACAGGGGAGAGCATTTCTCAAGCAAGAGCTAGACTTGCAGACGCAAGGAATAGTGTGTGTGTGTGTGTGTGTGTGTGTGTGTGTGTGTGTCTACAGGTTGTTATTTAGATAGTTTCTCCATCTGGGTATGGGGGTAAAAGACACAATGATACACACATACATGCATTCACCACACACACACACTTCACATTTTAGTATTCTACTGCTTTGCCATATACTCTGTACAAAGTACAATCGGGCTTCTTGGCAAGTTTGCACTGTATGCCCAATACACAACGTTACTTTGGTCACTTTGACTTGGAATAAAAATGTATTGATTTTGAAAGTTCTCTTCAGTTCATAATATAACAAATAGGGCTGTGAGTCCAGAAATAGGACAGGAACATTAAGAAATAGAGACATGTTAAAAACGCTCTAGTAATGCCCCTAGACATTAACACACATCCTAGGAGTTAATGTAAACTTTTCAATTCAAATGAGATCATATCAAACTTGAGAACCCCACTTGTTAGATTATACTTAGGTATGTTCATTATCCTTGGGACCCTTAGCTTTACAGGATTTTTTCAACTGAGTATGCCATTATGATGAAGAATATTTTGCCGATGACTTGCTCTTGAATTTGAATGAGCCCAGTTGTTAGAGGGCCTAATTAGGAATTGCACATGAAGTTTGTTATTATCACCATTTTTCCAGAAGTCCTACTTCGAGGTCAGTGTGTATTAGTTTGGTTAGAATAGTCCATATACCTGCTGTTAAACTAATCACCACTTATTTCTTCCCTTAGGGGAAAGCTATGTTTGCTCCTCAGACAACTTCTTTAAAAAGGTGGAGTACACCAAGAATGTCAATCCCAACTGGTCTGTCAATGTGAAGACATCTGCTAATATGAAAGCCCCTCAGTCCCTGGCTAGCAGCAACAGTGCCCAGGCCAGAGAGAACAAGGACTTTGTGCGCCCCAAGCTGGTGACCATCATCCGCAGTGGGGTGAAGCCTCGGAAGGCTGTGCGTGTGCTTCTGAACAAGAAGACAGCCCACTCTTTTGAGCAAGTCCTCACTGATATCACTGAAGCCATCAAACTAGAGACCGGGGTTGTCAAAAAACTCTACACTCTGGATGGAAAACAGGTAGGTGCTTTTCCCCCGGATTATACCTCTTCTCATTTGTCCTAAATGCTTGGCTGACCATCTTACACCTCGGACATCATTTCTGGTTGGGAGACTCTTCCTCTACCTCTCATCATCCCTACCTGATATATCATGTCTCATTTGGGAGAAAGGTCTTTTCAGCAGACAAAGCAATGGACCAGGAATGTGAGGCTTTGAAATTCAATCTGTTTCTGACTTACCAGGTAGAATGGTCACTTACAAGCTTCCTTATCTGCTAAGAAAAGATGTGTTGGAGCCTAGGTCCTACAAACTCCTTGGAATGTGAATTTAGCTAGTGCATGATGCAACCTGGATTGTTCAATGTATGTGACTAGAAATGAGATTTGCCCACTCATTTCTTCTTAGATACTCTTACATTGGTATTCAGCATCCATTCTGATGAAAAGAGGTGGAAGTGACCCTCATATTCTATGACAGGAGAATATGAAGGGAAGCACTGAGGTTTCTGGTTCGTTGTCTTTGCCTCACACTAGACCACATTTTTTCTCTCTCCCTTTTCCGTGTGACATAGCTGTCTTAATCTGGTTCCACTGATGGTTTGTGTGGAAAGGGACTATTTCAGGATCCTAAAATTAGCCCAAGAAAGATGGTGCCATCTGTTTCTCTCCAAATCAGGTTCTTCATGTCATTGGTTATGCTACTAAAGTGCCACCTATATTAATATCTGGGAAAGAATGCAGCCAGGCGTCTCCATCAGACAGATGCACCATTCCCTTGAGCACAGGGAGCTGTAAATATATGACAAAAAATGTTCCAAGGGAATTGGAACAGTGGCTGGTTTCTTTGGCTGTCAAGAGAATCCTGGTCCCTCATCAGATAAGACAAGTGTGGATTATTATCAGTCCATACTTTCTACCTCTTAAAATACCTTCGGTGTTTGAGCAACTATATAGATTCTTAAAAAAAAATAGATTCACCATATCAGGATGATGAGTGTTCAAATGCAGAACTGTGCCTCCTCCCATAATCTCTGATACATACTGCGTGCTGCAAGATTTTAAGTTTCTGGGAAAATGCAAACTCATATACGTGGTAATTTGGATAAATGTGTGGCTTCTATCTGTTCGCCACCATTTTGTGATCTGAGAGAAACCTGGAGGTACTGGTTGTATGTGATCTGTGTTTGTTGTACCACAGCAATGGGTTTATCTGCGATGGGAAGAGTTCTAACTCCTAAGCATCTAAGAGTATCTCTTTTTTGAGGACCAAGTGTATGATGAACAGGAGCTGTCCAGGAACAGGATTAATCGTCATAAACCTCACCTCGGAGAAGTAGGGTCTAGGAATTTTATGATCAGTGGATCTTAGAGTTGAGGGTGATCCTAACTCTAGAAGCCATGACATTTAATCTCCCTCCTATGGCAAGGATATACTCTACAGTCATTTTAATTTCATAAAACAGCCTATTTCACTGTTGAACAGCTGTGATTTTTCGAAAGATTTTTGTAACATTAGGTATAACTCTGCTTCCTTGTACCTTCAGCCTCTCGAAGAAGTACAGGAGAAATACAAATCAAGGACGTAAGACTGGGATTTAGAAGACTTAGTTTCTAATCTGGGTATTGCCACTTACTCTGTGACGTTGGGCCAACCACGTAACTGTCCTGAGGCTCACGCTTCTCCTCTGTACAAAGGGGCTAATCACACCTGCCCTACCCATGTTCACAGGATTCTCATGAAGATCAAACGAAATCACGGATATGAAAGCACTCTGTAAATCAAAACACGCAGTGTAAATACGTATGCATACAATTCATCATTGAGAAAATATGTAAATTGTCAGACAATTTACATATATATTAATAAATGTTAGCACTCTTCCCCCTACTTTACCTTCATCATTCTTACCACAAATTTCCAGCGTTTTGTGGGATGTACCATACCTCAGCATTCTGTGATTGTCCCTAATAATAAATAAAGGGACACCTCCGCCTCTTAGGTAAACAAGCTCCAGTCCAGTGATGGGTGGATTTTCATCCTACAGCAAGCTTTCCAACTCCTTTCAAGGATTGGTTCCCGTTTCTTTGGGGAACACGTTAGGAAATGCCAGAGTATGATATGGTGTGTGTACAGACACGTCAGGGAGGAGTGCGCAAGGGAGCAGGCATCACTGCCTCTGCACATACTGTTCCTTCTCTTTTTTTTTTTTTTTTTTTTTTTTTTTTCTGTGGTACGCGGGCCTCTGACTGTTGTGGCCTCTCCCGTTTGCGGAGCACAGGCTCCGGACGTGCAGGCTCAGCGGCCATGGCTCACGGGCCCATCCGCTCTGCGGCATGTGGGATCTTCCTGGACCGGGGCACGAACCAGTGTCCCCTGCATCGGCAGGCGGACTCCCAACCACTGCGCCACCAGGGAAGCCCATGTTCCTTCTCTTTAAAATGTCTCCCTCTGCCTACCCTGACCCCGGGGGTCATCTTTTAAGCCCTACCTCAAATATCATGTTATTTCTGAAAACTTCTCTGCAGAGTTAAAGTAATCTTAACCTTTTTGTTTGTTTGTTTTTTAATGCTTAGCTCCTGATTCATGGTGGATGCTCTATAAATGTTTGTTGACATAAGGAGATTCTCACATGGCCCAGGTAGCTGTTCTGATATGTTCTGAGAAGCCCTCTGTTTTCAATGTCCCAGAAACTATCCTTAGGTCTATCAGAAGACATAGGGGGGCTTCCAGAGGAGTGCGTATTCCACCCGGGCAGCTCCGATCTATTGCTCACTTGGAAGTCACTGAGAGCAGACTTTGAAAGCAGTTTTTCCCAAAGTGTATTCTGAGAACTGTCCCCATCTCCCCACCCCCAGGAGCTCTTCATAAAAGGGTTTTGTGGTCAAATAAAGTTGTGAAATGCTGCAAATTATATGCCTTTCTTAGAGATCCACATTGCCCATTGGCACATTAAATGTTCTGAGAAGTCCTACAGAAAGGAAACCCATTTAATTTAGACCCGGGATCTCCCAACCTTTTTTAACCACAAACATATGGAATACACAGATACACGCACACACGCACACATACACACACTCTCTAGGAGCACACTAGGAAATGCTGTTTACAGAATATGCTGAATGATTAGGAGCTAACTACTCTTAACCTCACTGGTATGCATGGGGTAACCCACAAATCAAACATTGTTGTGTGGTTACGGCAAGGACATTAAATAACAAAATTTGGGGGTGCAAGGACAAAACCTACTAATTACAAAATAGATGCTGAGTATACTGAAATTTGGTGCCAAATTCAAAATTTTGGAGCCCAGCCCATCTCCCAGTTCTAGTGATGACAGCCCTAATGTTAACACCTGTCAGTCACTTTGATTACTGGTGGGTATTCTTACTACTTGGGAATATGATCTTCCTCTGTGCAGGCTGAAGGCACATGTGTTGCAATGGCTCGGACTCGCTTGGATGAGATTCCATGCCTGTCTTTGGCTAAATGTGGCACCAGGCAGAAAGGACAAAGTATGGTCAAGGCTATTTGTTATGGAACGTTTTTATCATGAAGTCAAGGCCATCACTTGGTTTCAGTCTTGCTCTAACTGGATCCCAAACAGACCAAATCAAGTAGTTTTCTCCCCCATTGTTTAAATAATGATCAGTTAAAGCAGCCCAGTTGATTATACCAGATTTATTGTTGCTTCTGTTCTCATGTGTACCATTTGACTGATTGGCTTGTGCTGATTGACAAGAAATCTGTGGACATGGCTCTTATCTCTTTCTGTTTTTATTTTGTTCGGATGTGCTTTTGGAGCCTTTGATCTTTTCAGGGCTTATGTTTTGCCGGTATAGAAGACCAGTTTCCTCAGAGATATTTGTGGTCTGTGTAGGCAGGGAAGCTAACCATCACGAGTAGGACGAGGCCCCAGTTTATTCCTCACCTCAATAAGAAATTGCTGGGCTTCCCTAGTGGCGCAGTGGTTGAGAGTCCGCCTGCCGATGCAGGGGACGCGGGTTCGTGCCCCGGTCCGGGAAGATCCCACATGCTGTGGAGCAGCTGGGCCCGTGAGCCATGGCCGTTAAGCCTGTGCATCCGGAGCCATGCTCTGCAACGGGAGAGGCCACAACAGTGAGAGGCCTGCGTACCGCAAAAAAAAAAAAAAAAGAAATTGCTAATGGAATGAGGAGTAGTTCGTAGCTAATGGAATGAGGAGTAGTTCGTAGCACTCTGGCTACTCCCACGGGCTGTAGTGGATTTCTAGGAGGTCAGGGAAAACGCGATGAAGAGTTGGATGATGATGCATATTAGCTCACTCGCAGGTGAAGGTGTTCTTTTGATTCCTTGGCAGCTGGAGTGATTGAAGTGTGTTGACAAAATTATCCAACTATTAATTTCTATAATCAAGTCACATATGGACCCTTATGCTTAAACGTAATGGACGCATAAAAACTGGAACCCAGATTTCTGGTTCCCTTGGTAGTAGTGGCTCAGTAGACACATGGTCTAGCCTTAAATTCATTTCTGTAAAGCACAGGGCATGGCGCTTCTGTTTTTTAGAGATGCAGAGCTTTAATAACAGACTTTTAGCGTTTTGGCGTCTTACACAGGGCTACAGCTGGTCCTCACACCATCCATTTTCATGCTATACTTATTGGCATCTCTCTTCTCAGTTTTGCCCATATTCAGGTTCTGTGCAGAGATTCACTGTTGCCTCAAGATCCCTGCCTAAGGGATAAGTATGGCCTTTAGGATTTGTGTTAGCTTTGTTGGGCCAGTCTTCAATTGGATGAATTTATTTTGTGTTTCTGTCTATATCTTTCTAGTACTAACTACTTGAACCAGGAATTTTAGGTCTCAGAATAACAAAAGAGGTTTAAGCTGATTCCAAGATTACCCATAGCCTTGGAAGCTAGAACAGGAGTTTTAAGAAATGTTTTGAACCAGAAGATGGTAGAATAGGAAAATGAGAGCATGAAGGATGTTTGAACTGCTGCTAAGTATTCCAGGAAAGACTTGCCCCTTCCATCTTG